GTGTATTAAAATGAACACTTAAAATTGTAATTTGGATGTTTTCTTTACATTAATATGATAGAAGACAAGTTATGGAAACAAAACATCACTCCATAAATCGGAAAATACTGTCAACGTATTCAAAATCAAAGGTTTCTCCATATTTTTGGAATAAAGTATTGTATATAATCAGGTAAATGATATATAAACAAACCTCAGTATAAAACCTTAAGAAATCAGATATTAATAAAACTGTAAATGTTGGTGTATGTAAGTGCTGCTGAAGTTGAGAAATAACTTTTTTTTTTGAGGGAACAGATTGAAATGTACAGATACAAGTGCAATAAATTAGACACTTGTTTTGCAAGTTTTCTTTCCACTAGACATGTTATGGAATCAAAACAGACCAAAATCTCAAAACTGGCCAGTGCATGAAAAAACAATGTTTTTTCGCCTGTTCGCCTTAAATGTAATTCTGAAACGCAAACCTATTTAGTTCATTTATTTGGTTCATTGAGCTACATACCCACGGTCAAGCTGTACGGGTCACTCAGAACCCAGTTGCCCTGGTTGCTGGCGTTACATCTCATTTGTCCCATGTAACGGTTCAGCTCGATGGGCATGTTAAAGAACGCACTGGTCGTGTCGGTCGTTTCGGTGGCGATGAGGTCAGTGTGGTTCAACAGGCTAAAGGTGTTGAGCGGCGTTCCTTTCTTAGACTGACACATGATGATGGCTTTATAACCTCCATCATCAAGCTTCACAACATCAAAGGAGAATTCAGGCTTTGACACATATTCTAGAAAAAAATCAGAATTCTGGGGTCAGTAAGCTTTTTTTTTAATAAATCGAAACTTTTATTCATCAAGGATACATTAAATTGATCAAAAGTGACAGTAAAGACATTTAGATTTCCATTTCAAATAAACGCTGTCCTTTTGAACTTTCTATTCATCTGTGAATCCTGAAAAATAAAATGTATCACAGTTTCCACAAAAATATTGTGCAGCACAACTGTTTTCAACATTGATAATAATCAGAAATGTTTCTTGAGCAGCAAATCAGCATATTAGCATGATTTCTGAAGATCATGTGACACTGAAGACTGGCGTAATGATGCTGAAAATACAGCTGCGCATCACATAAATAAATTACAGCTTAACAAATATACACATAGAAAATTGTTATTTTAAATTGCAATAATATTTCGAATTTTTATTGTGTTTTTGATCAAATAAATACAGCCTTGCTGAGCAGAGGAGACTTCTTTTAAAAACACTAAAAGTCTTAAACTTGATTATACTGTGTGACCTGATCGTACCTCTGATGTACACAGTCACACCACTGCTGGCGTTGAAGATCGTCGTGTCATTATATTGGTTTGATGCCACACACATGTAATTGCCTGCATTTTGTGCAGAAACCCTGTGGATGGTCAGAGTGTCGTTATTCCTGTCGTACAGCATCTGAACTGGTGCGTCGTTCCAGAGCCAATCATAGGAGACGTACGTTCCTTTGGTTTTTGTGCACTGGAGGGTCAAAGTTTGTCCTTCCCATATGTTCTCAATGTAAGGATGTGAAATGATGCTCAGTTCCTTCACTGGAACTGCAAAACACGGAAGATGAAAACAATGCAAAGATTAATGGAACAGTTCTTCATGTCTCTCAAACCTGTATGAGGTTGTTTATTTTGTGGAACCAGTGTCATTGTTTGACAAATATATTATAAGGTGTAGTTTAACCCTTGTAAAGCCTGACTTATGAAATAATAGAAAATCTAGTTTTCTTTTAAACAAAAAGTATGCATGAGTCTTTTGTAGAGTATCATATTTGATCCATCAGGCTTTTACAGCTCATATAGTCTGATACAGTGAGAATATGAAGGAAAAAAAACATCTTAATTTTATTCAGAGACTCAAACTGAGCAAAAACATGAATTTGCATCAGATGCTGATATTTATATGATGAAATTCTGATGCTTATAATGTAAATCAATGAGATCTTTATAAAAGCACAGCAGATACTGATATATAGTGGTTGCTCTATATCTCCAATAATCTGTCTCAGTAAGATGAGATTGAAATGCTCCAAACATATAATGCAGTGATTGAGAGCTGAAGAAATAAAGGCTCCTCAGAAGATGTGAGATGTTCTGGAGGCTTGTGAAGATCATTCCTCCGCTGAGGAACAGTGAAAGTAAAGCTTCTGGAAACAAACGCTCCTCAAAAGATCCTGAGGATCAGTTTTGAGACTCTAAAACATGATTGATGGAGAATCAAGTAAAGCTGAGCTGCTTCAGTCCAGTAAGTGTTCATCTGGAGATATTACTGCAGTTATTCTGACCTTTACTTGATCAAAATCAGTCAAGATTTGACACGAGACGCTCCAGCTGAAGCTGGACGTTTGTACAATTACACTAAAAGAGCTTTTACTGGATAAAACACTCTAAACTATCAATCAGAGACAGAAGACATGAGGAGATTGTGTGCGACAGCTAAGTTTGATCACGTTGATCATTTAGAGGACAGAAAATTGCTTTATAGCCCTGTTGAAAAAACCAGCATATACTGGTTAGGTATGTTTTGACGCTGGGATGCTGGTTTAAGCTGGTCCTTTGCTGGTTTATGCTGGTCATGTGCTGTCAAAGGACCAGCATAAACCAGCAAAGGACCAGCTTAAACCAGCATCCCAGCGTCAAAACATACCTAACCAGTATATGCTGGTTTTTTCAACAGGGAGGATTACACTCACGTCACGCCACTCACCAATGACTCTGAAGTCCATGCCATTACTGAATGAGCTCTCGATATCGGTGTCATTGTGTCCGCTGGCCTTGCAGATGAGTCGACCGTCATGCTGTTCGGTGATTATCAAAGAAAAAGTGGCAAATTCTCCAGACAGCGAGGAGTACTCCCCAATCATCTTACCCGGGTTTGTCTCGACATAAAGCTCATATTGGACAGACAACGTTGCCGGTTTCTCAGGAATATCACAGAAGAAATCCACAACTGAACCTTCTAATGCAGCAGACGGACCCGACAGAACCGGTTCATCAAGCTTTTCTAGAGCATCTGCAACAGAAAATGTATTGAACACAGACTCAGTTACCCTACACTTGGACATTAAGCACATGCTTAAAAATGTCACTGCATTAAACAACAAAATATAAAAACAAGTGTCATTTATTGGAAATAACAATGCACATACACTTTTTACATGCAAAATATTTAACAGACAGAACTTTGTTGGGTTTGAAATGCGAGATCAATAGATCTATTGTTGAAGATGAAGACAGTATTTAGTTTGTTTGTGGCTAGTGGATCGTGTTAATGAGATTGTGGAGAACTGACTTCATGCTGTGCTATGATGTTACTGACTTGTGTGAAGTAACAGCACATTTACAGTGATGCATATTTTGGCAGATGCTTTTACCCAAAACGACACGTATTGCATTCAATATATAGATTTTTATCAGTTCATGCATTCCCTGGGAATCGAAACCCTTGACCTTTCCACTTTCTGAGGGGATTAAACATATAATCAGTATTCATTCAACTATAATTATCTATAAAGCCCCAGATAAACATGGCAAGAAAGTCACTTACCCATCCTTGGATGCAAAACCGAAATACCTGGTGGAAAATAACATGCATATGAAAACAGACTTCAACACATGAAAACATCCATCAAAAATGCAAAAGTTTCCTCCACCTATGAGAATGAGTGTAAGATGCATCGATTCCATCCTTGCTGAAGAAATGAGAACAATATCCAGATGCAAGCACCAGAGCAAGAACTTTATTATTAATGGAGCAGTGAAAGCAGTTTGACATAGACACAGTGAGACCCACCCTAAACAGCACATGTGTTGAGGACAGATAGGGCAGATGCCAGTGCGAACGAAAACTCAAGATAGAGGATTGCAGAGAACATCTACATAAATGTACTGCACTAATATAATCAATATACATAAGTGTTGTTGCACCAATGCAGCCTGCAGCCTGTGTTTGTTCTTTGATGTCTGTCATACATTGTTGTTGTATCAAGACATTTGGTAAAGTTTAGTAAGTTTTATAGTGAGATTTATAGTGACTCTATTGCTTATAATTTATATTAAACATAATTTAGTTAATACTTTTTTTTTTCTCAGATTCATCTAGGTTTGGTCAGGTATGGACAAAAGCTGCTTTTGGTACTTTAAAATCATTTTTACTTTTGTGCACCAACAAAACTGGCAAAAACGCCAAATAAGTATCTTTTTGGCATATTATTAAAACTTAGTATGTGAATTCGGTTCAGTACACCGAGTCTGGCAACAGAGCAACTTACTGTTGTAAAGCTGTAAAAAATCCCATCATAAACTTGGTTTTGGGCTTGGTTGACGGTTATATAAGTTCATCAATTAAACTTACTTTATTAAGTGATCTTAATATCAATTCTTAAATCTCAAGATTCAAATTCCATCAAAATTCTGTCAAACTGATCAAGAAATGCAAACTGTTGTTTTGGCGGCCTCAACCGATCATAATCTCTTCTTCATTACTCCTAGTTATAACACGAAATAAACATGAATGATCATCAGAAGGTATGTTGAAAGAAACAGAACAACTTACCGAAATAAATCATGTCTAATCGTTCAATCAGTGTTTCAACCGCGGAAAGAGGTAAGTAAACCAGCTTGTAAACAATAACATCACATTCAGAAAAGCCTTCAATGAGCATAAACTCGATATTCAGCAAGAAAACTAACTCTAGAGAGGAGCATTTTGATAAATATATTAATTCTATAACATATTCAATAGATTTTTACGCAACGTCTTCATTATTTAACTTATGTTAACAGCTATTAGCCATTATGTTATGACAGCCACTGTTTAAAGGATTATATTTAAACAACGAAATATGAACATAACTATAAAATTAAATATAAAAACTGCCTTATGAGAGATGTTTTAATCAGGAATCTCTCTCCATAGAAAGCATATATTCAGTAGAAGCATTTGATAAATTAAACATTTATTTGGTATATAAAAGCCTTACAATCTCATTGATAGAAAACAATTTAAAAACAGGAAAATGGCTCAGTAGTGATTGATGTCCAGTCAGAGTTCATCTTTCACCTTAATTAAAGAGCTAATCAAAGTGTTCAGGATTTCTAGAATCTTCAAGACGTCTCTGCAGGACACTGGTCTAGACCTCTAGGCCTCAAACTCCATGATGACTGTTTCATTTCCACAGGTTGAGGTTCAGAGGAAACATCAGCTACAGGATCATTCATTCTGCAGAGAGGAACAGATGAGAGGTTAGAAGCGTTCTTTACAGCAGCATCACAGCCGAATGAAGCTTGAGAGAGACTAAACCAGACTCACGTTATCATCTCAGACTGGATCACGTCCTCTGACAAAAAGAGAAAGAACAGCTCTGACAATGCTAACAAAAACATGTGCAAACTTTTTGCTTATGTTATGAAAACAATATTTCAGAATGTTCACCGATACGTTAGAAAAACGTTAAGGGAACATTTCGTTTTATAATTTTTCAAAGACTATTGGAAAGTTACTTTTGAATGTTCTCTGAACCATCTGAAGCTAGTATTGATGTTTAAAAAGTTAGACAAATGTTTAACTAAAATGTTTCAGAAAAATGATCAGTCAAAAGAACAGTAAGATTTTTTATGTTTTTTAAAGAAGCCTCTTCTGCTCACCGAGCCTGCATTTATTTGATCCAAAGTACAGCAAAACCAGTAATATTGTGAAATAGTTTTACTATTTCAAATAACTTCTTTCTATTTGAATATATTTTAAAATGTAATTTATTTCTGTGATGCGCAGCTGTATTTTCAGCATCATTACTGCAGTCTTCAGTGTCACATGATCTTCAGAAATCATTCTAATATGCTGATTTGCTGCTCAAGAAACATTTATTGACTTTTGACTGGTAGTGTAAATAATGCTAATGTGTTGAGAACATTATTAAAGACCAGATAACTCTAAACAAACGTTCTTTTAACGTTACTTTGTTCATAACTTTGAGAGAACATTTCTTAGAACATTAGTCAAAGTTCTGAGAACCTTCCATGTTAGCTGGGTACGTATTCACATTTTTTTTTAAAGTTAGACAAATATTAAACTAAAATGTTTCAGAAAAATTATCCATGAACGATTTATAAATAATCTTAACATTTGAGAACATTATTAAAGAGCATAAAGAAAGAAAATATCTTTCAACAAACATTCTATTAACTTTACCAGAAGAACGTTTGTTCAGAACTTTGACAGTTGGCAATAATAATTGTTATAAATAAAAAATATGAAAATTATAGTAATAGAAAATAACAATAAAAAGTTAGACAAACGTCCAACAAAAATGTTTCAGAAAAATGTTCCATGAACGATGTGTAAATAATGCTAACGTTTTGAGGACGTTATTAAAGACCACAGAGAAGGAAAATAACTTTGTGCGAACATTCTATTAACATTACTAGAAGAATGTTTTTTTTTTCAGAACTCTGAGAACTTTTACAGTTGGAAATAATTGAGAAATTGAGAAAACATTCCATGAACGATGTAATGTGTTTGTGCTAATGTTTTGAGAACATTATTAAAGGGGTCATAGGATGCCCATTTTCCACAAGTTATTACATCCAACAACAGAACACCTCAATCACTTAGGAGTCATTCTTGTCTACATCTGCTCCGGCGGTGAAACAATGGCGGACTGATGACAGTCACTCAGGGGCGGAGCTAAGGTAAGACGCCAGTCCAGTCTGTGCTGAAACGCTACTGTCAATCAAACTATCGTGGGAGGGGCCTGTCTGTGTGACATCTGAGATCGGCTTGATTTGAGAATGGGGTAAATATTTTAGTAGATTAAAAAAAAACACTGGGTGGATTTTTATCATTATAGGGTGGTTGTGTACACACACTGCCAACACACATTTCAGTTCAAACAACTTGTAAAAGTGCATGTAGCATTCGATTACCCCTTTAAAGACCAGAAAACTTTGAACGAATGTTCTATTAATGTTACTGGAAGCACTTTTTTTCATAACTTTGAGAGAACCTTACAGAACGTTAACCAAACGTTCTGAGAACGTTAACACATGATGAAACGAGTGGACTCACGGTTACTGTGATGTTTGCAGCTGTTGTTTCTGCGCTTGGTGCTCCAGAACATAAAGAATGAGCCTAACACAATCACAATCGACAGGAAACCACAGAAAACCAACGCAATGACCTCCACGGGCGTCGCTGCCAAATCTGTGCGAGAACAAACAAAACCCTCATCGACTTCTGCGTCTTTGTGGAAATTGACTGGACGTGAAGGACACGCTCACCTGTCTTCTGAATAAAGATGTCCTCGCTCTCCACCCAGACTGAGCTGTCGTTAAAACTGTCCCTCACCCTGCAGCGGTAAAACCCAGCGCTGACATCTGTGAGGATCAAGATCTGACCGTGATGAGTGACCGCGTGAGCGTCGCCCTCTGCTGGAAGGGAGGAATGGTTCAGACGCCAGGAGAATGTGGGAAACGTTCCTATGTCTGGGACACATTTGAGCCGAGCGGCTGCCACCGTCCCGTCGGCGTCGTGGAGGTACGTTACTGTGACACGCACAGCGCCACCTACTGGAACTAACACAAACAGTGCTTTCACGCGTTTTCAAAACTTTGCCTCTTTTTCTGAAAACTTTACACACAAATCCAAGAATTGCAGACACAAAATGCAAAGTGCCTCACATCTCTTGCAAAACGAAGCACTGCATTCAAAATATCACAAACACATCTCAAAAGCAAACATTTGTCTTACGTTGCAAACGCCTTTGCCATAATATTATATTTTTGGATATATCATCATATACACACAGTTATTCAAAACCTAAAGCTCTTCTTTCATGAGCTCCTGTGTACATTTCTGTTCAAGATTGAAAGTATTGAAAAATTCACGGTAAACATGAAAGCAAGATTGAAAGCAAACTTTTTACTGTAAGTATTTGTGGTTGTGAATACAGTATTACACAGTACAAAAGAGAAGAAACACATCAAGCATGTGTAGTTGTGTAGATGTGTGTTTATTGATTGGTTGGTGTTCAGTAAACCACATGTGAGGAGTTAGTGATGCATTTTGATTGGTCGTGTTTGAAAAAGGAAATCAAGATACTTCCTGTTAGATTTTTGTGTGTTACATAGAGAATTGTGTGTTGTATTTGCAAAAAGTGTTTTTTGAGCTTTTCGAAGCTTCGAATCAATTGCTTCGCAATATGATTCACTGTTTTGAAGTGCTCGAAACAACACACACTAGTCACGCCTGCTGGTCAAATGTGTGCAAAAAAAAAAAAAATGCAACAAAAACTCAAACCCCATTGCAAATGTTTTATTGAACGTATAATACATTTAATGCCATAAAAATAATAAAATACCATTAAATATGAAGTGTCTGTGTAATATGCGGTTTTTAAAATATTTTATATTAATTTGCAAGGCTTGCTTTGTTTGTTTTATGGACAGCTTCTATATAGAGGCCAGTAAGAGACTATTAAGACTATTATTATTACACAAATGTCTCATTAAAAATGTCTACAAATTGATGAAACTGATCCGAGATCAGGTAAAAACCATAGACACTGGTTCAATGGTTCGTCGCTGAAATTTCGAAACTTTTCAAAACAGTTATGAGATAATGAAGCCTCGTTTACTGAAATCACGTGCAGGGTTGCCAGGTTTTCACAACAAAACCCGCCCAGTTACTACCCAAAACTAGCCCAATCACGTTTTGAGGGGGTCCCCGGTAAAAATCATGTTCTGTGGGGTAAAATACATGTTTTTTTGCGGGGTTCCCCTGGTAAAATTTGCATTTTAGGGGCTAAATATCACATTATTGGAATCGCATCAACCCGCAGACATGAAAAACAAACCACGGACTTGGCAACACTGATCACGTGACTTTGGCAGTTTGATACATGCTCCGAACCACTGTTTCGAAGCAAATGATTCTCAAAAGTTTCGAAGCTTCACGAAGCTTCAAGATCACTAACTGTGTCTTAAAGGCACAATATGTAATTTTCACCACTAGAGGGCGTGTATTCAAAACAAACAAAGAGACAAAGGCGTAGTTTGATGATGCCGTGACTGAGTGAGGAATCATGGGAGTTGTGGTCTTCATCTCCACAGCTGATGCAATCCGACGGGACTCGGGCAGAAATCATAAACTTACAAAAAGAACCCCGCCAAATTGGCTAGTGATTTGACAGCGTTACCCGCCACAGCTGATTTTTACTAATTACTAAATTAATTTGTTAATTTCAAACCCTGGCCACAGTCGAGCGCTTCCGCTGCTTCCGGTCGTGAGTATGTGGGGTAAAGCAGCGCTGTTTTATCATACTAGATACATTTAGTTCTGTTATAATGCTACTCTGTGCGGTCGTCACCGGTCTATTAAAACACACAACATATTAAAGCGTCTTTGGTGTTTCCATGTTTTCTACAAAACAAAACCGGAAATCGAGGGGTTATGACGTCATTGGCAGGCGACACAATGACACTATAGACACGGTCCGTGTCACTAGTTAAAATTGCTTATTTCTCTGGATTTAAACATTCTTCGAAACATTTGGGATAATGTAAGTACACAAGTCAGCAAAACATATAACGCCGTTCTAGTGGTTTTTGGATATTTTAATAAAAAAGTCTTACATATTGTGTAAGAACTAGTTTCACCACTAGCAATAGTCAAGGGGTAATCAGTCTTACTTTTCATACTCAAATTAAGACCAATCTATGTTTTTATAACTGAATTTAAAAAGTTATGGCCGGTCTTGAAGAAAAAAAAATAGATGACTAACTTTTTAAGACTAGTTTAAGAAGTTTATGCAACCGGCTCCAAGTTAAAAAACACAGTTGACTGAATGAATGAATTGCATGAATTTGAATGAAATCCTACATTTGGTGTAGGATTTACTTTGAAACTATTTTTACACAGAAATCGCTAGTAAATTTCACAAATAATTAGAAAGAAATAACTAACGTCTAAGGTTACTTATGTAACCATGGTTCCCCGAGTAGGGAACGAGACATTGCGTCTTCTAGGGGTCGCTATGGGAAACCTAGAGGACGCAGTTCGAAGTTCCCATGAAAGGGAACGTCTCAGGTTACTTATGTAACCATGGTTCCCTGAGTAGGGAACGAGACACTGCGTCCTCTAGGTTTCCCATAGCGACCCCTAGAGGACGCAGTTCGAAGTTCCCATGAAAGGGAACACACTGAATTAAGCGTGAAATTTTTAAGTCAAAGTCTGAAATAGCATTTTCTTGTTAAACGTACTTCAATAATCTGTTTTATTTACAACTTAGAGAAATTATCTTTTACCATATTTTCCAGAAAATAAGTTGCAGCAGGTAAAAATTTTATTTTAGCCTATAAAAAAAATAAATAAAAAGATAAATTGAATCAGTGTATAAATCACATTTTATTATATCATGCAAAAACAACGTAAAATACTGGTAAATGAAACCAAATGCTATACTGTATTTTATATTCCACAACAAATGCTTGAAATCTAATGGTATTCAGAAAAGAACAGGAATCAAATATAATGTAGCCTAATAAATATAAAACAAGCATAAACTATAGTGGCATGTTCATTATAAACAGCATTTATTATAAACACAAAGAATCGACTAATTTATTTAAGTGGAAATTAAACTACCAGCATGTGGGAAATATGCTATACAAATAAACTTGGGCTCACGTAACAAATGCTTGATAATTTATTGCATTATATAAGCCGCTTTGGAATCAGCACATTTCAGATGATAAAAAACACAACTTATTTTGCAGAAAACATGGTATTTCATTTCTCAGTGCAAGTCCCAAAATACACCTAAATACTAAAGCAATAAGCCCCGTGAAGCCGTGGTTTACAGTGAATTTATAACAGCTAAGTAAACAAAGGTGTATGTTACTTTGTAGAGTCATTTACAACAGCTTCGAACGCGGCTCAGCCAATCAGAATCAAGCACCGGAACTATCTGTTTTATAAACATGAAATTTAATTTTAAGCTTCAGGCGGTTGTTGTAGTCGCTCGGATGATCTTCACATCATCTGTGTCACTCACTAACTCACCTACGAGTAAACGCACGGGATCAGACAGCAGCTGCTGTGTTTCCGTTTGTGCTTTACATCGAGCGGCTCCCAGATCCAGACCCACAGAGATCGGCAGAACGAACCAGGACTCTAGTGAATCCACTCGCTTCACATCCAGCTCCAGTCCGTCCAACATCAATCTGAACGTCACGGGCGGAGATCCACGCTCAGAACGGCAGCTGATGTTGGCCGTCAGGCTGGAGCCGTTAGAGAAGACCGTAAACGATAACGAGGGCGCCGAGATGCGCTCTGAAAATCAGAAAACAGGCAGTTTCAATTCTGAAGTGGTATATTCACATTCAGTGAAAATAAATGGACAGGATCTTGATTGGATGGTAAAAGTGTTAATAAAATCAGAAATAAAATAAAATATATAAAAATAAAATATATATATTTATGGAAGCCCGTTTCCGCCATTGAATAAAAAATAAAAAAAGGTTATTGCGACTTTATATCTCACAATTCTGACTTTTTTCACAGAATTGCGTGATATAAACTCGCAATTATGAGAAAACGTCAGAATTGTGAGATAAAAAGTCACAATTACCTTATTTTTTATTCAGTGGCGGAAACGGGCTTCCATATATAATAGATGAAAACTGAACTAAAACAAATAAAATTAAGTAAACCTAAGTATTAATAAATAAAAATAATCACATTTTTAAAACAAAATTACTAAAGTTCTTTGCACACTCTTTCTCGTCTGAAATTTTCGCACTTTACACTTTAATACGACCTCATGTTGTATTTACGCATATGAAAATTTCGGACTCAGTGTGCAAGGAACTTAAGAATTAAACTATAAAATAAAATATAAATATTCGATTCAAAACTTTCGAAATTCTCATCCGAAATTTTCACACGTTAAAAAATAAATACGACCTCACGTTGTGCCAATCACTTTTACACGATGCCTCCGAAACTTTCGCCCGTCATAAAAAAAAATTGGATCAGGTTCGATTTTCTGCATTTTTGCATCCGTAGCAAGCATTTTGATAGGAAAGGATGATGAATATGAAAAAATGAAAAAGAAAAAAAAAGTGTGCAAAGACCTTAACTGTTGAACTTTTGGTTGAATCACTAAAATTACTGAAAATAAATAACATAATAAAGTAAATAAAATAAAAATACATTAAACCTAAATTGTAATATTAAAAAAAAAACTAATAAAAAATGACAAAAGCACATAAAATTAAAGTAAAAAATAAAATGTAAATATTAGATTAAAAAAGAAAATTAGAAGTAAGAAAACGGAAATAAGTTTAAGATGAAGCACTAAAAATTGCTAACTGGAAATAAATACAAATTCAAAGTGAAATAAACTTAAACCTAAAAAAATGACAAAAGCACATATATAAAAAAATTACTAAAAGAAGCTAAAAATGAAAATAGCCTATAAATATTAGATGAAAAACTAAAATTAGAAATGTTGCCTCGGCAACTAAATGAAATAAGTTTAGGTTGAAGCAAAATAGCTCAAATTTGCTAACTGGAAATAGATAAAAACTAAAACTGAGAAATAAATTAAACCTAAATAGAAATAATAAAAACAAATCTAGTAAAAATGTCAAAAGCACATACACTGCAGGATATTCAACAAAAACAACTGCACAAGACTTGATTGGATGATGAAAGTGTCTCTATATAAAGATGACTGAAAAATTAGATGGACTGAGAAAGGAAAGTGTCGTTTCTTTGAAATGCAGAAGTGAGAGTTGTTAAGTTTGTTACTTTTGACAGTGACGTGGAGGTTTCGGCTGCTGGAGAATCTGGGGTTGACGGTCATCTGGTTTTGAGCTGTGCATGAGTATATCCCAGCATGCATTTCAGTCGCCCCGTCCACCGTGAGAGCGTCTCCGGAGAGCCGGTGGAGCTCTGACGAGGAGTTCACTAACTGTGTGTCGTGGTACCATGTGAAGGACAGATGCGTCCCCTTCCTGACGAGACAGCGCAGGACGAGCTTCTGTCCTTCATAGACGATCGCTGGATCGGGATCTGAGCTCAAACGGGCCCCTACGACAGGAACTGACATCAACAGAACTATTACACAATATCGGTCAATGAAACATGATGGCACACGACCAGGGTTATTATCTTTAACTAAAACTTATCGGTTACACTTTATTTTAAGGTGTCATTGTCACAGTGTTATTATACATTTAAGTACTGAGTAATATTAATTAACTACATGTACTTACTGTATGGTTAGGGTCAGGATTAGGGTTTGGTTTAGAGTTACTTGCATGTAATTATGCATATTAATTGTTATTATAATAGTAAGTACATGTAACCTGTGTAACATTAAAATAAAGTGTTACCAACTTATCTTTAAAAAAACATTGAATTGAAATAAATCTGAAATAAAATAAAATAATATATGAAAAATAAAAATCTAAATATTGGATGAAAAGTAATCTGAAATTATTCTAAGCTTATTCTTAAATTTAGGTTAAAGCAATAAAATTACTAACTGGAAATAAATAAAAACTAAAACTGAAATTTAAAATAAATTAAACCTAAATAGTAATGTTTAAAAAACGTAACAAAAATGACAAAAGCACATGAAAATACTAAAAATTAAACTTAACAACTACAAAATTTGAACTAAACAAAAATTAGATGTTGCCTTGGCAACTAACTGAATTAAGTTAAATTACTAACTAAAATTACTAAGTGGAAATAAATAAAAAATAAAACTGATCTAAAACTGATATACAATAAAAATAAATTAACTATAAATACTAAATAAGTTTAGGTTGAAGCACTAAAATCTTAAACTTAATCTTAAATTAAACCCAAATTGTAATATTTAAAAGAAAAACTAATAAAAATGACAAAAGCACATAACTAAATTACTAAAAATGTAAATGATAACTGAAAATATTAAATAAGGGTTAATTCGAAATATTAATAAAAACTATGATAGTATATAAATAATACTAAAACAACACCGTCTCTGACGTGTACTTGTGGTCACATAAGATCACGTAAAATAAAACGGCACTGGCTTCATCGACTTTGAAGGGTCATGGGCATTTTAAAGGGGTCATGAACTGAGAAACCAAAATTCCCTTGATCTTTTGACATATTTTGAGGTCATTGTACTATAAAAACATCATGTAAGTTTCAGAATTCAAAACTTCCTCGTTAGTCTAAAAACAGCGTATATTAAAGCCAGTATGCCAAAACGACAGCTTGTGGAATGTTCTACTGTATAAGCCCGTTACACCGCAGGAACTTTCCCCAGGAACTAGGGACTTTGTGTTTCCACCGCAGGAACCAGGATCTAAATAAAGTACAGGGTAAAAATTTGCCCCTCAGAAAGTCTCTGCTCGTGAGGTAGTAGCTACTTTTTCCAAAGGTCCGGAACTTTCGGGGGCGGGACTTGGGCGCTGATGCTGATTGGTTGAGTTCACGCATTGTATTTCAACCACCATTTATTTGCATCATTTTAAAAAAATATTACTGTTATTGTGTCATGAAATGTAGTTTTAAAAGCATTTCAAGCGTCCGCGGGAATTCACACTCCCGAGTCGAACTCGCCAAGTCCAAACTAATGAGGACGCAAGTCCGAAATTTGCGTACGTGGTATTGAGAAACGCACGCAGACCTACGTCACCAGACTATTAGCCTAATTTTTGGTACTTTAGACTGCGATGGAAACGCAGACAGCAACAGTTCTGCAGGAAAAAAGTTCCTGGGACAAATTGTTCCAGGTAATTTTGGTGGAAAAGCGGCTTATGATGTAATAGTGTGGATAAGCACCGCCTCCACAGAAGAAGATTGACATTTCTGTCTGTTTAGCCCCACCCACTGATTCTACGTCACTGCCTGTTTAGCCCCGCCCACAGATTTTACAGCACTGTCTGTTTAGCCCCGCCCACCGATTCTACAGCACTGTCTGTTTAGCCCCACCCACCGATTCTACATCGCTGCCAAACGGCAACCTTCCAGTCTCTCTCGTGAAACCAACACGGAAGTGACTAAAACTGCAATTCATCGACTGGCCGCTAGAGGCTGGCTCCAAAAGGGAGTCAGTCCCATAGACTCCCCATGTTAAAATGCCCAACTTTACAGCAGAAAAAAATATGTTTACAGCCTGGTACAAAAAGTGGTTTTGGTGTATATAGCTAATTTTGCCCTTCATGACAACTGTGAGGGGGGTGAATTTTTTCTATAACTCATCCATTTAAATTATTTTAAGCCTTAAAGTTCTGCATAATTAAGGGCATGGCCACTTGAGTGACAGGTGGATTGCCGCTGCGGTCACCACCGTCGAGCTAGGTGGGCGTGGTTTCAGCAACCAGCTCCCACCTTTTTGCCCATTTTCGATTATCCGGGAGAGACGCGCTGCCAAGATGGCGACGGCTGACTCCGCCTACTTTAGGCTTCAAAAACGCTCTTCGGAAACCTACGGGTGACGTCACATAACTCATCCGTTTAAATTATATTAAGCCTTAAAATTCTGCATAATTAAGGGCGTGGCCACTTGAGTGACAGCTGGATTGCCGCTGCTGTCACTGGCGTCGAGTTAGGTGGGCGTGGTTTCAGCAACCAGCTCCTGCCTCTTTGCCCATTTTCGATTATCCTGGAGTGACGCGCGGTGATGCGCTGCCAAGATGGTGACGGCCGGCTCCGCCCACTTTGAGCTTCAAAAATGCTCTCCAGAAACCTACAGGTGACGTCACGAACACTACGTCCATGTTTTTATAGTCTATTGGTGCGTTCCAAACGGGATATATCGCCCTCCGAAGGGCACTTTGAAGTGAAAACAATCATGGCCGCCATATTGAAGGGACGTTCCAAACCGAAGTGCTCAAAACTGGCCACTTCAAAGGGCCCTTTGGAATGAAGGATTTCGAAGGGTACAACT